GGTTCCCCAACTGACATCAGTCCATGATAAATACTACTTCTAAATTAACAAATATACTTTGTTGTTGTGACTAATTTACCTTCAAGCGTCATTTGTTGTGAGTATCATCAATATTTTAATTTACCCTCTGTTAAATAGACAATTAGATGAGTAATTTTTTGGAGGTGAATGAGGATTTCAATTTTGAAGTAGCATTCATCATTGACTGATATCCCAAGGTTCTAAATAAATAAATATCTTTATTCTCAAGTTATAAAGTTAACATGAGAGAAGCCAGTTTACAGGCCTCATCAAATTGATAACTGCAGAAAAACATAAAAGGTTTTAGCAGTATTGAATGATACAGAGGTAGGACATTAGATACCAAGTGTCTAAATGCTATGAAAATAGCAGGAAAATATCACTTTACAGTACATACACATCGTTCTGAGTTTAAGTCATTTCTGCTTACAATTCTTTCTTCACACCAAACAGGGCAATATTCGGTGTTTGCGTTGTGAGTAGTCAACATGATTGACCCATCTGCAAGACCCAGTGTTTCGTCAGATAAACGTCAATTTTAACAGTAATTCTTTTGTTCGTAGATTTATTGACCAATAATAAATTACTTCAATGATTTCAGGAATAAGTAAGTATCCATACAATCATTTAATACGGGTGAATGTCTAAGTCCAGGCATTTCTCACTCTTGAAGTGTTACCTTTTCCAGCAATTCAGATTGGTAGTACTGAAAACATTTGTTGTGGTGCAAGTAATTAAAGACTGGAAGCATCGTCGTTCAACAGTGGTGAATATTACACATGTGTAAAACTTCATAGACTTCACATTAAAGTATGCAACATTGTCAAGGAGATACACTGGCTGTTAATTGACTTCTATGAGATGGATTGATACAAGACAAAGTACTAGAGAAATCTGTTACATAGCATTATTATGAATGTGTTGCAGTTAGGTAAAGTGATCCCTCGGGTTGGATTATTTATCCAGATTTCCGCTGCATTTGTCACTCACCAGAAATCTGAGACCAGTTATTGTGCTTGGGGTTTCGTATGTGGTAGCATTTAGGGCATTGGTAGGGAGGTGAGTTGGTTGTTAATCTGTTCAAGAAACAGGAAAATCGGGGCGAGCCAGTTGGATACCTCTAATGGGAAGCTGTGACCTGTGAGATCAACCAATCGGAAGAGAAGTGGATGGCAGCTGAAGACCTCAGGTGATAGTCGTGCTGTATCGTGAAATGACATAAAATAGAGACTGTTAACCAGTAAACTCCGGCCCGGCCGCTGAATGGTTAACGCGTTTGCCGTGAAATGTGAAAGTTCTGTGTTCCATCCAGTCGAGACTACGGAATACGGAGTAGTTTTGGACGCCATCTTAGCAAGGAAGTTAAGTTTAGATATATGTTTTGTTATTCATACTTACATGTAACCTAAAATAATGTCTTTAGATATATTTTACATTACATAATGAAATATAACTTTAAAAAAATAATCTTAGAATATGTTTTTCATCCAGTTTTATTCCTGATTTCTTAAGTACACTGCAGTTGTTGTCAGTCTGTTAACATATATGCTGTAGTCACCTATATGAACCAAATCTGTAAACGCCTATGTTGTATCGATCAGTGGTAACTAGAAAATAGAAAGAACTTGTGATCATCTCGTAATGACCAACCTATTTTAGACAACTCAATCATTCAAGTTCAAATAAGTAAAAAGCAACAATCTGAAAGAGGAGTATTCTTTCCAATAAATTCTCTTCAAGTTTTTATGAATTAAATGACCCCTAAATGAAAGTGTATATTAACGCAGTATCTCTTAGAAAAACAAAGCATAGTAACAGCCGTGATGAGGTAGTAATGGTAAGGAAGGGCTGAAACCGTGCTTAATCCATAGTATTTCAAAAAACTGTGCGCTAACATTAGGTTAACTTACAGCCTACATCATTACTGTAGTTTGAGGTATTTGGAGATCTCATTTCAAGTTAGTATTGGTCATGGATTAACATCAGTTGGAGAGCACTGGACGGCTGTTTCTTCCGAGTATGAGACTCCCCAGATGTACACACACACACGACTCCCCCAGGTATTGAACTCAAGAATTCCAAGTTTCACAGTGAACGCGTTAACCGCTCATCCACGGTTGAGGTACCAAATACTATGACGAGACAGCTGTCCAGTGCTCCCAGGTTTCTGCAGGTTCTCTAACTGATATCTGTCCATGATGAATACTACCTTGAGATACATTATTACTGTTACACGCAAAAAGTTTGCAGTATTGCCAAAGAAATCACAGTCAGCAAAATCTTGAGGTCATCTAGAGCCGATATTCACAAACATTTATTGCAGCCCAATAAACATGCATCTGAAACAACAGATTAACGCTAGTCAAGTACTGAACAGTCTGAACCGTTTCAAGGAAAGAAGGTAGAAAATAAAAATCGGTTTGTTATTAGAACCACTCTGGAACTTCGACTGTTCTGATCAGACTGTCCACACAGAAATCATTTATTACCAAGTAACTAAGCATTAAAACTTGAAATGTTGAGATGTACACCATTAAAAACGAGAAAAGTAAGGTTGGTTAGAGCCTTTAATCAACCACATTTTCTGTTAGTGCCATAGGAGTCACCAGTAGACTTAGATAAAAATGATCTTGCCTTTAGCTCTTGATTAGTTGATTAAAGCCTATGAAACTTTTCATCGTCCATTTTGGATTCGATACAGGAAGAAATTTTGAATTTAAGTTCACACATTTCGGGATACTTACACTCTTTATCACCTTGATCTACTGACTTATCCTTCTGCCGTTTTCGTCTTGAGTGACTCAAAATGAAACTTTAAAGCTTTTAGTACACCTACGATTTCTTTTCGTCAATCAGTAAATACTGCAATAAACATATATTTACTTTTGATTGTTGAATATCCACTGATTTCATGTCTTTTATTTCCTATCTTTACTCTTTTGCTGTGTTGTTTTGCTTCTTCCATACTTCTGTCTTCATAACAATGACAATACTCTTTATTCGTGTCTCTTTTTTCGTTAAAATGTTTATCCATACTACTGTAAATAATTATTAATTGGCAGACAAGTGAATTATGTTCCTCAGCTTCTTTGCCGCAAATACACTTCACAGTTTTCTCAGTGTAGAATTCTAGGATATTTTCCTGGATAACACAACTTGTTAACATACTGGAGTCTGCTGTATAGAACTATCGTGTTAGTTAACAGGTCCACCAGTTATCAGTGGATGGTATAATACTTCAGCTTTTCGCAGGCGAAAGTTGCACATCCTGCTCACAGATAGATAAAGAATATTCAGTTTTGTTTAACACTTACCAGTTTATTCTCCCTCATTTGACAGATTAGGATCCAGCCTTGGTCTTGATAATTAGTTTATAAACACCCAGGCTATAGTTGTTACGAATGTCTTGAAAGAAGTTGAACGTTGAGTTAGGTTGATTCGTTATATAAGTAAGTTTTTATATAATCCCAGAGTGTTTAGAAAATCGAAAACAAGATTTTTCTGACTCTTAAAAAGTAATATAAAATGGGTGGAGACTTCAGGGATAAAATAGCATGTAATTAGTTTATCATTGGTGCAGGAGTGATGAAACTAGGTATCTGAAGGGGATCGACTACCACAGTTCACATTTTTCTCCCTTTCAATAACTTCATCCTCTCATCATCATTCCATTCACTTACTCTCATCAGAAAAAATTTTGTTTTCGATTTTCTAAACACGCAGAAATTATATTAAAACTTACACATATATTGATAATTAGTGTTGCATGGAATCACCGACTAACAGTATACCCAATCTGAAATAGCTAGTCACTTTGACAAGTTTGCATAATGTAATGAGAAAACGAAATTATTTTGAGATGTGTGCTGTATTTGCTCAGTGCACTGAGAACAGTCTGATGAAACATTTACTTACCTAGGAACCTTTATCTCATTTTAATAACGAGGTTGGTGAAAAATCTACATATTATTCCTCCTCATATCCCTTTATTTTTTAAATCATCCATTATCCCAATTTTTCTTATCTCATTTCACTCAGCTTTCACCTTTCATATAAAAATGTTCTGACAAGTAGGTGTATGATAAGATTATTTGTAACATATTGCACAAATGCGTCATATTTCTTAGATAAACTCTAGTTAATTATTGCATTTTTCAGAAACTTAATGATCTGTCAACACCGCTGTTGATATCCCTCCTATAGTAGAAATATAGCACTGTATTATGCATATTATTGCGTTATAATTGTACATTCTCAGAAAAGTTACACAAGAATGGTTACATAAACCAAGTGGCAGTGTTTGATGATACTTACTTCTGTATAATATAAATAATCTAGTAATGAAAATACTAGGTAGTAAACTGATCTCCTGAAGAGACATGTAGATATGTGCATTTCAACCAAATTTCTACGGGAAATCGTTTTCTACTGCGGTTCGTCAAAGATTTTGAAGTTCTTTGTCAATAATGACCCTAGTACATATTTTCCTAATCCTTGGGGAATGTGAATGAATAAGGTTTCTTCTCCCACTTACAAGGGTGAAACTTTGAAAAGTAATAAACTGTTAACTCCATGTAAGCTTTCTGTAGATCGATTTACGAAGTGAATCATCATCTTTGGTGTTGACCTTCAAGAAAATGGAACGTTGAGTTTCATTCTGATTCCACAGTGAATTTAATTGAGGGATGGGGTTGTTGAAAGTACGAAACAGATTTAAAAGATTCATATTTTCATCACAAACTATGAAAATTTACAGAAGTTCACCAAGGATTCTAGCTGCAATTAAGTCTAAGAACTCCTTCACACAGCCTATACACTTAGCTTACATTGAATAAACTCATAAAAAGCACTAACATTTTTCAGTAAGGGCATAAACAATGTAATGACTGATTTATAAAAATTATTTGCAATAATTATCTTTTTATCTCTTATGCAACTGGATATTTCTGTCTAAATTGTCCATGGATTACAAAAACTAGGAAAAAGCTCGTACTTTGAAAGTAAGTAAATTTCTAATCCAAATTTTATTGTATTTCGATTGAACAGTGCATACTTTATGTCTTCTAATACTTATAAAGGTTAGATGAAACACATCCAGATACTTCCAACAGCTAAGCCAGTCCAAATGAGATGGTGCTATAAGAACACTACATTCTCACTTTCCTTGAGTAGAGAGTTGAAGATATGCTTAAAGGGATCCTGAATGCAACAGGAGTCAGTAGCTGGACGGCGTGACTTTACCTCGTATGTATCATTACCTAGTATCAATAATACGAGTCTATCAAACCACGTCTATTTCAGATAATGACATTGATAACTCTCATATTGCTTTGAAAATTAAACACCACTGAAAACCTACTTAACTTTCATTTCATCATTTCTATCTGTCCATCTCCCTTGTTTTTTTTGTTCCTATCTATTCTGCAATATGCCACTTCATTGTAAAGGGAATTGCACTGACGCAATAGATTGAATGACCTTTGCTATTCTAGCTATACGCTCACAAAAAATTCTCGGTCGAATGCATACCTAATCTATCCGTATAAGAAAGGAGTGTTTCTTACTGAAGTTTACTATCATATTCATTGAAAACAGTAATACTTTTTAAATGTAGTGCAAAATGGGTAAAAACTTCAGGGATAAAATAGCATGTAACCAGTTTATCATTGGTGCAGGAGTGGTGAAACTAGGTATCTGAAGGGGATCGACTACCGCAGTTCACACTTCTTCTCCCTTTTAATAACTTCATCCTCTCATCATCATTCCATTCACTTACTCTCAGTTTTACAAACTTCTATACAGTCCAATCAGCGACGAAATGATATTTTCAGATGTGTGCACAATATGTGTTCAATACACGCAATGACAAACTCCAGTATCATCTATTCAGAATTTTGTCTTAAGGGTAAGAAACTACTCAGGGTACTCTAAACAAAAGTAGAACATAGACGAATGTCTCACATTAGAGCCGGATACTTAACTTACATACAAGGAAGTATTTCTGGGAATTACAGTTACGCCCTGCATCTTTCACTGGAATAAATGTTGTCATCTGATGACTTATGCTATTGATTTCATTGCCGTTGGCTGTTAAATGATTATACATGTTCAAAATATACCCATATTTATACAGCCCCCTCCGGATGTATGAATTTCTTAGTAATCTTCATGCATTCATCATCCAGGTTAAAAACAAACTAACTTACGTCATAGCCTTTAGTTCACAATTATCAAACTCAACACAACAAAATACACACATCATAAACGACGCGTATTACGTTTATCAATAGGAGTTTGTTTGTTAAAGTCGTAAAATATCTCCATGAATGATATCCATGGTCCAATCTGATTTATTTCATTAGAGGCAATTTTTTGAAAGTTGCCTGCTAGTGACCTGACTTGAAAAGAGGGAATCGAATAATCCTACGTATTGTAACTCTTTCACTGCAAATGGTCTTAAAGTTATTTATATTTCCCAATCTATCAAAATACTACTAAGTATAAAATGTATACTCCTTCTTTATACACAGAAATCTAGTATGCCTGAAGACATATATTCAAGCTACTAAATTTATTCTCCAACTTTCTCTGAAAATAGAACATTCTGTTACTCAGATTTGGCCTATTTTTGCTTATATCCAAGGAATAAGAGAATACTTCTATGTAAAAAGTAAATCTTTATGGTATGTTGTGAGTACTTCCTGCAACCACACTATTATTTTCTGATTATAAAACTGGGATAATTCAAGTATAATATTAGTAAAATACGACATTTCATTTATTATTGATAATATCAGAATTTAATATTTGATAACTCCCATATCAGGTGAAAATAGTGGTGTCTACTGGGAATGTTTACTGTTACATCACTACCTAACCTTTCTGCAAACGAAATAACTGACACGATTTTATCTTACCTTGTGACATAAATTCATTAGCTGGTACAAGTGTGAACTCTTTAACAATAAGCTTAGACTTCACCCTTAAGGGTAACTCGGTTCTTCAAAGGCAAAAAGAAGTGGCAAAACAATAGGAAGTTTATTATCAAGTCAAAACATGTACAAAATATAACGGTATGCACACATATATGTTTTCAGCGGCCTTGATTTTTTTTCACAGCTTTCTAGAAGGGCATTTAGCTAATTTGAAGCTCATATTTATGAATATGTAGTTCCCCCGAATCTCCTGTGTGCAGTGATTGGCTGTGAAGGCTTTCAGAAATTTAGGAGGTAATGATTCACTGCATAACACTTTGGCTCCTCATGCATTGATTTATTAACCAGACAGCATTTACCAAAGCCACAGGATAAGAATGAAATGGTCCTATTAGGTAAATGTATGGACAAAATACTAAATCTTTTATGGTTTCAAACAAAATCTAGGCACTTTTAACATGCCTTTCACATCTATCAAGTATAGTGCGATACTATTAAACTGGTTTGAATTGACACTTATTTTAAGTGTTCGAATGCCTCTACGACCTTCATCTGTCTGTCTATCAGAAAAACACTGAGTTCACTATGGAAGTATCATGTTTAAATCATGAGAGACTATTTAGTTTTTTGTTTAAATCAACTAATTTATCCTTAGCTGTGTATAATAAACACTTTTTAATGCAATTCTATAGTCTTTAAATTTATATTTTCTAGTGAATTTCAAAAATAAATTTCATGTTTACACTAGTCCTCTTAGTTTACTTGGATTGATGAGTAGTTTTATTTTTCCGCCAGTTACTGAGTGAGTAACATCATGACCACTTCACTAATGAATAATAATTGAAATGTTACTATTCACAGTATCTTGTACATGTAATATATGCATTTATTATTTACTCCTGCATATACAGTTTAAATATAATCTGAAACTATAGAAGAATCATTTATCAATATGTTGATCAGAATAACTATTATACACAATCGTGTTTCTTATCTACTTTATCATATTTATAATTTAGCTTCCATCTGAAGGTGTTCCAATGGACTTCAAAAATATTCATGAAGCAATTGACTTAGCAATTGATAAAGAACTTTATGTCAGTACTCAAATCAATGAACTACATAAGTTGGCGGCAAAAATGAATGATGCTACAGTGAGTTAGTTTGTATAACTTATTTTCGTTATTCATATAACCCTAATTGAGTGAAATGAAACCATTTTCATGATATAATTAAAATATTGTCAGCATTAATTCTTGTTTCGAATTAGGAAGATTACCAATCTATTTTTCTCCAGATTAAAAAGTAACTTTCGGATGCGCATTATCTTATAGCAATATATACATAAAGACTGTAATTCACGATGAATCGCTATTTTTTTTAGTTATGATAACTAAACATTTGGAAATATAAATTCAATTTAGTAATTCAGTAGTAAATTCATAAAGTGGACAAAATTTCTCTTTCTGTTTTTATTATGACTATCGATTATATGCACCGAAGAGTAATTGCCCATCGGAATGAAAACATTTTTCATAGCCTTTATCTCCTGACTAAAGGCGTTTATTTGTGACTTATTAATTAATTATTGGTAATTCTCCATTTATGACACGGTAAATCACTTTTGTGAAGAATAAGTGCCACCCAGTTTTATGTGAGGAAAAATATGATAAGACCAAAAATTAGTTTGACTAATGCAATCGAAATTTTTTTCTGTTTGAGCATTCCCTACATATCATATATATATATATATATATATATATATATATATATATATATATAAATTGAGAAGATTAACAGACAGATTACTTCATGATGAGTGGCAGACAAGTTATGTAGTAATATCAAATGTTAAACTCAGTTGGTGAGAAGGAATCATCAAAATTTTGTGCAGACTTAAGATGGAGAAGGTTCAGTCAAAAGACTAAGCCATCAAATAACAGGAAGAGCTAAGAATAATTACTGGGGGAAAAGGAGTCCAACAACTGCTTTGCTTTATTCCCATATTTCTGATTTCAAACGTTTGACAGCTGTGGTCTCAGTTAAAGTGAAAATATTGAAGTTATTTTGCTAGTTAAATACTTTGAGGAGTCTCAGGGGACCTCATTTATGTCTCTGGTAAATACGTTACCTGGCTATTAGCTCTGCAGCCATCTAATCCATTGACGCAATATACCGTTACTTCAGTCATCAAGTCTATCTGTGATCTGTTGGCGACTTACATTTTTCTGACGGGGTATACCAAAATTGTTTCAAATACCATCAGTGAACTTCTATACAATCTTATAGGCTTTTCACAGGTTTATTCCGGATAATCTTTCATGATCAAGAACTTCATTACTGTCTACATCATCACCATCATCACTGTCTACAAAAATCGAACCTTAGGATAAAAACACGGTCATATTGCAGAGTATAAAGTGATTTGAAAAAATGAGATCTATCTACAGATTTTAAGTGTCATACTCTCAGTAAAAGTAAACTTATGCTTGGAATGGTGTTTATAGTGTTTCACTAAAAGAGTAAGCATACAATTAAATCATTAAAATCTGATAAAAATCTTAATGGTTATCGATAGGGTGGAATCAGTTATCTTCATTTTACGACGGACTGACTTCTACTCGTTTTGTTTATGCTACTGATTATTGTTCACCTCTAAAAGTAACCATTAAGTCTCAATGCACCTGATAGCTCTTCATAATTTCCTAAAACGAAAGAATAAAAAGATTTTCTGCATCGGTTTGTTTTAAAAGAGATTTGTCTTGACGTGAGGAACATGAACCTGAGAAATAAATCTGTCTTCACTTTTTACTGTAATAATCATTATGTTTTAGATATAATCTCCAAAACTTTTCCAGGAATATTTATTATTATTACTCCCTTAGGTTCCTAGTGGAATATAGGGCTTCAGCAGCACGACTCCACTGTACTCTTTTCTCTGCAGTCTTTTGGACCTGGCACCAAGATATGATTCTGTGCCAGTTCTTGCAAAGGCTTAGGTCGCCCTTCTTTGGGAGTCTGATAACCTGCAGGTACCTTTCCTTCCTTCCAAACCTTCTGCAGTGGTCGCGTGAGCATGTCCGCTGTTATCTCTGAGTCTGTTTTCAGTGCTTCTGGTGGAACTCCAACTGGTCCTGCTGCTTTCCCGTATTCCAGCAGTTTTATGGTATTCAGGACTTCTGCTTTTGTCGGGGCCTGTGTTCACTTGTAGTTCTGCCGTTGCTGGTGGTATTTCGTCTCTCCGATTCCAGAGAGGAATAACTTTGTTTTTATTTTTTATATTTTCTCTGCGCTTTGAAGTTTGTTTAGCGATTGGATTGGTTTTGCGGGGTAGGGTTGCTAGCGCTATGCCCAACCTTCCCTCTTTAACCGGGCTTATGACCGACTAGTAACTAGTGAACTAGTTAATCAGGTGAGGAATATTTAAGTAGTCATTAATGGAATTTTTAAGAACAGCTGTTTCACTGACTGGAAAACTATTCGACTATATTTCTTGAATGGTTTTGTTGAGCTTTATTCGACAGAACGACATTGAAATCCGATGCATTCTAAATTCGCCTAACTCATATCTGAATAGTGAAATATCCATTTGATGAAAGAATATGAGAATCTAGCTATCTTCAGAGGTAAATGGAGTTTTGTTGATCATACCAATTTACGTCACATTTACATGAAGCATTCGTTCTACTCCACTTCTCAAAGGATTTGGGCCTAATTGGCTTTGCAGTGAACTAACTAGTTCAGTTTTTTAAAATTTCAAATGTAAATTATTGAAAACTTTTTAAGTTTAACTGATTAATTCTCAACCTAGGTGGACAGTTTCAGACTCTTCATAACATCGAAGCTTCAGTTGGAAAAAGACGACTATGCAAGTTATTACCCCCAATCCAAAAATATAAGGACATTATATAAAATATTTACCAGATGGCCATAACTTACGGGTTGTAACAATAGATTCGGTACCCTTTTAAGCTTGTATAAATGCTTCCTTTTTGCCTACTTCACTCGTTAGAGTCCGTTTGGACAATTCGTATGATGTATTCTTTTACTAAGTGAGGTGGTTGGGACATGTGCTAAGGAGGCTGAACCACTGCTCACTTCAAAATGTGAGGTTAGCTGAAGTTGAATTAGATTGGAGTAAGGTCAGTAATGAAAAGATAAAGAAATGTGACAAGTCCATGAAGCCTTTGGCTACCGATATGAGGAGTGTATGGTGGTTTGGACTGACCTGTTAATGCTGTCAAGATGTTAGAAATTAGTGGTTGAGACTTTTTGACATGGCCCGGACTTAGTCACAGTGGAGTTGATGTATATTCACTTTGTTACTTTTGAAGTGTTGAACTTCTTTACTAACATTTATCTGTTTATGCCTTCTCCTCTCTCACACCTTTGTCAAATTATCATGCATAATCTTTTCATCTTTTCGTTTCCTGTTGCTATGATGTGTGGCAACCTGAAAGTACTTACGTTTCTAGCACCTACTTAGACCTGTCTGTCCTTCTTGTTAACTGATTTTACCTATGAATATGTGTCAAAGTTAGTTAGTTCGGAAGGTTAACAAAAGTCCCATATTTCTGATCTGATGTTCAGCTTCACTTTTAATCACAATATAGAACTACTTTCGTTGTAATTAATTACTCAATAATATTAAAGAGCATTTTTTTTATAAAATCTTAAGTACTATTGACGAAATGAAGCCAGATTATTACCAACGTGTTTGGTTAACTGAATGATTTTAAAAATCTAACCGCCTGATCCCGATGAACAATGAATGACATGATAAATACTTACATCCTCCCTAGCCATACAAGACTCAAACGAATAGACTAAGCGAATAATTCCTTGGATATAAGCCATTAGGTACATCGTCGTCTTAAATCATCTGGTAGAGCATAAAAATACGTTCATGGCGAGTTACATAAAACAGGCCTTACAGTTACTGATTCATGAGTTGTCTATGTGATAACTCCTTCTCACTAAATCTCAGTAAATCATTATCTATGTATGTCACGGATGAGAGTAAATCCGAAGTAATTTTGTTGAAACAAAATCCTTTCGGTGAAAAGATGTTTTGAATAACTACTTTTGTAATAAAACATATATCACTGATTTTACTACCAGCCCCTAGTTGAACTTTCTCAGTACTACTATTACTACTACTTCTTTCAAATGAAATAGCTAAATAAATAAGATTGTTTTCAATGCTAATTTATAGGTCATTTCCATAACATTCTAATCTATTAAAGTAAGGGAGGCCTAGAAAAATAATAATGATCCCTGGAGTATATTCAAAATCCTTATCTTCATCGTGAAAACATCATTTGCTAAACAACACCTTGTAAAAAAACAGCTGGTTTCTATAAAGACTGTTTAACTTCATTATACATCAAACAAGAATGAGTCAGACCACGACCCAAGTATTTCCAGTGTCTCATGCAGTTAGATCAGTAGATAAAATTGAATAAATTAAGAAAGGTAAAACTGACAGGATTCAGTTAACTCATTTCATATCTTCTCATCAACAGAAATTTGTCTGAAGTCACAACAGGAGTTTTCCCAGTTTGTCAATCTCGTGCTTCAAGATAATGCTTCAACTGTGGAAGTTAGAATGATAATTTTTTAGAGGGTATTGTGAATTGATGGATACAAAATATTGAGAGATTGTGAATCAGAAGTTGTCAAAACCAAAATCACTGTTGATGAAATGTTATTGACTTGAAGAATAAAGAGTTGTGAAGAGGTGACTGTCAGTGGAAGTTAATACGCATATAATACCGACTGACAGGTCACATAGCACATGAAAATGAGAACTGCTGATGCAAATCTGGATGGAAAAAGTTTCTACATGTCTTAGATAACCAGTGGACAATTCATTAACCAGCTTTGTCACTAATCTGATGGATTGATAGTGAATTCATAGTTGATGTCTTCATGCTTACCTTGAACAGACTTAATTGAGTTCAGTAATCAATGAAACGAATTGTCTAAATGGTAACAGCAATAACGAATCTGTCATATGCACGGATATGAATTACACATTTTACTCATTTGAAAAAGTAAACGAAATCCATTTTAAAATATTATTTACGATGCAGTATGAACGTGACAACGTGTATAGCTGCTTGGAGGTCAAGATGAAATGAAAATACAAACAAGGAAATCATTCACAAGAAGGGTGGATTAATTTAGTAGCAACTTAACTATAAAACTTGTTTGCCGCTATATATAAGTGTTCAGTAGAGCAGCTTTAAAACGGTGCATTTACATGTTGAAATAAGAATTAAGTGTTAGTTGGTAGGAGGCAACTGACAGGAAGCTCTGTCAGGTTCCATGTTTCCAGGCAATAGCCAGCAAGTTGGATATGCAACCATGAAAGGAACTATACCCCCTTTGAGATTCCAACCCGCATCACTCTGTTGTAATCAGTGCAGTTTTTACTAAGCTATTTAGGCCTCGATTGTAATAGGTAATGGGTTCATTTAGAGTTTTGTCATGAAATATGAATGAAGGCAAACTGAAGTAGTTAGGCACCAAAATGTTAGGAAGGAAAACTTTTTTCTACATTATTCTTAAAAGGTAGTCGTAATATTAGAAAGAATAGATTCAATTACTAAAAGGCCCTGGGAAAGGCGTTTTCTTGAAGCCACCCCGATATTAGTTCAAAACATCTTTTGTTCATAGAACTAGGCGAAGTAGACATCTATCCTCATAGCGTCTTCTGTAGTTGCACTTATACTTTTCCGTAAGCCTAAGTTAGGATGTACAAAATAAGACCTACGAGAAAAGCTTCCAATAGATTCCCTGAACACATTTGAACCTAAATGGATGTTGTTGCAATAACAGTTTCCTTGTAACACAGAATACTGAGCTTAAAGTTCTAAAATCCTTTAGGTGACAAACAACCAGAAAATTTCAAGGCCTCTTCTCTTTGTAGAAAATATTACTATGACATAGTTTCAACTGGCATTATACGCCTAGAAACGATATGCGATCACTACTCATCAACGTGTTTATTGGATTTTGAACCTGTTTTATGTTATGTTACGGCTGATGGGTTCTCAATAAGATAAAGTGGATACCTGGATTTCACTGCTAACTATTATCCATCAGCTGTTTTATTTCGGTAGCACAATCAATTATTTCATTAATTTATTGACTTCAGCCCAGTTGAGTAGTTTAAACAGCATAGACTTCAGTATTTTAACATGTTACATAACCTTTCAGTCGGTATTAAATGAGTATTAACTTCCACTGACAGTCACCTCTTCACAACTCTTTATTCTTCAAGTCAATAACATTTCATCAACAGTGATTTTGGTTTTGACAACTTCTGATTCACAATCTCTCAATATTTTGTATCCATCAATTCACAATACCCTCTAAAAAATTATCATTCTAACTTCCACAGTTGAAGCATTATCTTGAAGCACGAGATTGACAAACTGGGAAAACTCCTGTTGTGACTTCAGACAAATTTCTGTTGATGAGAAGATATGAAATGAGTTAACTGAATCCTATCAGTCTTACCTTTCTTGCTCTTTTTTAGGTTACCATTGATCTAGATATGGAAAGGAGATATCCCCAAAACTTGAAGGATCACGTTATACTAACATAAAAGTACCAAATGAATTAGGATACCGATAGAAGTCTTATGTGTGATTACTTAATGAAATTAACATTTCCAATTAAGTACCAATAAGCATTCAACGTGAAGAAAAATAATTTAGTAAGGTTGATCTAGTCAATGAATTCTATTGGATAGCATTTTATCCTAGAGCTTAGCTAAGTATACCAATAAATTAGAAACAGAAATCTGATTTATTAACAGATAAAGTCTGTATTGTTAAAAAACTTTAACTGCTTTGTAGTGCCTAACAACGAAATCTAGGACGATTTTTTTGTCCTATTTGGGATATGTCAGGTGAATGCATCTCCACCCCAACGAGTGACTCTAACCCTAACACCTATTGTTTCAAATGCTACAACGTTATCAGCTGTGCTACCGACTCACAAGAGCCACTTCTTGTGCAGCGGGTATCATTTGTTACTTATCGATACTTGCAGTTTCCTGTTGATTACCATAATGAACAGAACTGACCGATGGTAACGGCAGTTTTGTTCATTAATAGTGATTAGGTTAGCGTCAAATTAAGTAATAAAAGTCAGTTCATGTATGCGTATTCAAATATTCCTGCCTTAATTCACATCTATGCAGTGAAGTCAGAACATAATAATAACAATACTTATAATAGTTTTATTTCGAACAGGATTTGTTGTACAGTATGAAATTTTCAGCATGTAATGGTTCAACAAAACCACTCCCTGTATATATACATATATATATATATATATATATATATATATATATATAAACGGAGTAATCATTACATTTGAATGATGTAAATAATGACAGTAATCAAAGGTACAATGTGAAACATACACCTGGTATCGCATTCGAATATCGAGCGTAATTTTAGTGGTTTATTCAACCAAAACCAAAATCTGTAATTCTACATAGTTATCCGAAGAATTGTAATGCACTGTATTTCTGTGCATTTATAAGCCCATCTCTTATCATTGTATTGTTTATTCTTGTCGTTAGCTTGAAAACCAACAGCCTGAAACCATTTAAAAAGGGTGCAAGGGTAGTTCACACGTTTGGACGACATATTTAAGAGATTAAAACAAATAAAAAAGGGAAGAATTTGATGAAATATATTCCGTAGAAAATTTTTGGTCGCCCAAATTTTAAGCGGGTTGACTTAGTTTAGTTCAAGTAATCTGATTAGTCCTACCTTCACTCACTTCATAGACTACTTTTAGGTCTAATATGTACACTAGCCATTCTATTTGGAATCGAATTAATCTTGTAGTAGACGATTTTCTATACTGACCAACAAAATTCATTTACAAGTGCATTAATAAATCTTCATTCAATTATTAGATTATCCCCTTACTATGTATACACTCAAACCATGTAAAATAGTTGATAAACTAACCATTAGTATAGTTTAAGATGACTCTGAGTGATCTCTGGGATAAAAGTTTAGGTAGTGAAAAAACTCAAATCATTAACCATTTGGTTACTAGTTCTGCTGTTTGCTGACTAATCTTCGAGACCAAGCTGGTGATCACGTCGTGATTTCAGCTTAAGCAACCAGTCTAAATGACAATCAACTATTCTCTCATTCCTTCTAATTTATTAAGGTTTGGAGAAACTGTGGTAAATCTAGACGAACAGTTAGTGTATTCATGATCACCCCCTAGTAAAACCCTAAGTATGTGAAACGAAATGGAAACTGAATTACTGACCAGATCCCAAAGTTCTGTTTATACAGGATGGTAACCTGGAAATGGCTTGTTCAAATTCTGATAGAAAAAATATTTTTTACAACTTCACTCATTTTACTCCGACATTAAGACTGATCAATGCAACCAAGGCTAACCCATATGGATTTATAATTACCTACCATGACGAAGTATATAATGCCATGTTGCCTTATATATTTTTTAATCTGAAATATTTCATGCATACAAACTAAACTGGGTTACGTCATCAGGCTCTATCTAATCCGCTACTTTCAAGTCAGTTATTCCCCATAAAACACCAATTAAATGTCACCAGCTTATCAAAATCAGCTGTGAGGAATGTCAACGCGTACTATGCAATTCGTTGATCATTTGCCAATTGACCATCCTGTTTTAGGCATACCGGTTCATGCAAGTCAGCCAACCAGATTCAGGTGATTTGAATCTACAAATCTACAGATCAGCCTGAGTGGTTTCTGACTATCTCAGTTGTTCAGTAGTATGTATTGCAAGTTCATGATACCTTGTGATCGTGGCTGAATGGTTCACAACGGAAACCCTGTTAATCCCACAGCTGAACGGTTGAAAAACTACTCAACTGCGAGAAATATGAAAGTGGACCATGCAATTTGTAAATCATTTGCAAATTGACCAACCTATTTATCAATACTTTCACTATTATTATCATTATTTTCATTATTATTATTATTTACCCTTTTCTACAGACTCAAGACTTCTTGGATGAATTTCTTCAAGAGCAAGTGGATAGTATAAGTAAACTTAGAGAAATGCAAGCCAGACTTCGATTGGACAGTAGTGCAGTTTATTTAATGGATAAAGAGCTTCGTTAATTCATCAATTTTTATTGTTGATGGAAAGATCAAGGTTGTTCTTTCCTTTTTCGGTTTTTATTCTCCATCTATGCATCATTTTAGTTTATTTTTTTTATCCCCCATTTATACAAACTGTAGACAGTCAGTAATTTAGTAAACAATAAAATGGGTTATATTTTATTTACCTAACTTAATTCATTATGTTTATTTGTGCATGCTTTTTTGGGAAATAATATAACTTGTGATTAGTATACTTATCCTTGGCGATTCTGTAACGTGATTCCTTAATCTTCTGGTCAGTTTCTACTCAAAATATAGTAATCAAGAGTTTACTTTCAAGCGTAAGCCAACATTTTATCAGCTTGATTAATTAAATCTTAATTCACCGTTGTACTGTCAGTACTGAAGACATCTCCACCAACATGCATACACATAATCTCTTATTTTGTATGTTGAGATCTCAAAGTAGTTTGTGTCAAATGAAATACACCTGTGAATAAACCCTTCCTTCTTCTCTGTTTGAAGTAAACTTCTTGAGATACACAAGTAGGAGAAATCATTCCTTTCAATGAGTTGACTGATTTGACCATATCCATAATAGTAAGACATTCGACTTATTTGGATTGTTAAGGCTAAAAACCAGTTGGAACACAACTCAAAGTCTTCAACCCACCATTATAACATCATATTCAGCAATCAGAGGGTGATGAACTGGTTTTAATGACGATTTCACCAACCCTTAAGTTATAGGGCTATTTATTTGAAAATTCCATCAAAGTTTGATTCATTGATAAAAGTAAATTCATTCTTATTGTTTAGTGTGATATTGTTGGATGACTGTCTGGTGTTCTCCGAGCTTTGAAGTTTGCTTTTATGTTATAGCTTTTAAGTCTCCATCGTTGATTGGATCCAACTGGTCGGCCGCTGCTGGTACATAGGTTTCTGCGCGGATGCCTCGATACTGCAAGGATTTTCAATTTAGAAATAAATGATGGATAGTAGCTGGTAGTGGAATCCATATGCCAATAGTGGCTGACCAATTAGGTTCAGTTAACGACGGAGATTTACGAGCTATAACATCAAAGCTATCCTACTCCCGCTTCATAAGCAGTGACTGTCGTGACTCACTGGTCTAGTGCATGACTCTCTGGCGTTTGAAGTGGCTGGTTATGAACTTCGTTCTTAGTCGGGAAAACATCACTTACAGGAGTTCGAATGCATACAGCTGAAGAGTACCAAACGGGAAGAAAAACGTGTCCTGGATTCCACTACTAGACACTATTCTTTAAAGTTTGTTTTTCAGCTTTTCACCAACAGGCTAAATGATTTCACCAAAACTTCGTCAAAAAATGTTAAATTTTATGCACAATAGATATAACTTCATTGAACAATGGGATAAAGAAGAGCTTTTGATAGGCATAAATAATAGGCAGATAGGAGTTAACTAATCATATCGTTATCAAAAATTTAAGATCATCTCCCTTTCATTCAGATTACTTCAGTAGTTTCGATACAAGCCGAAACACTAGCCTAAGGCTTTTCAGTATGCCGTACTCTCAAATGTATCAAGTAACGAGTCTAGTACAGTCAAGTTTCACGATAGTTCATATCTTCTGACTACTTTAATTCACGATGTGCCATGGTAGTTGTCGGTTAGCATCAGTCCACTATCCCAACATGGTTGAAAGCAGCGATCATAGACTCATATTAGAACTTCATGAAGTCCATCTAGAAACCACTTATTGATAGGCGCTGAATTATAAATGATTAGATGGTTTATTGAGAATCGAGTCAATCCAAGATAGTTTTCATCGACAGAATAACGTTAATACCATTGGAAATAAGAAACAAAATAGACAATGTTGGCTTCATACCACCAATGGACATAAGTTAGTACACACTGAGAATTAGACTTTTACCTAGGGTTTGTATGGTATCATGATATCCGGCGGAACTCATGTTTTCAGCCACGATTGCACACTGTTTCATAGAAGTTTAAAAACACTAGGACAAAATATCCACCCTCTGTTCACTAGTTTTCACGACTTCGTTAGTTGATATAAATATAATGAAAATAGTGGTGAAACTAATCGATTTCCTATAAATTTATCAATTCAACATTTTTATCACAAAAGTGTTTTTCGCTAATTGTTTTAAATACCTAAGAATATACAGATTGACCTAAATACAAAATAGCTGTAAATTATTCTTATTTTAATGCAGTGAAATATGAACAAAGTATAACAGTGCAATCTCAGAAAATGTCAACGAAAATTATTACATTAAATTTACTATATGATAAGAATGTTGTTTACACAATACAAAAGCATTTATTTTGGTGATATACTTAGATGAAACACAATGCTCATTGTATTCTTGATAAAAAGATAACAAGTTTAATAACAAAGGAGACATAAAAGGAGATCTAAGCTTTTGGTTCAAAACTTGCGGCAACCCATGTGTTTCACTGAACACTAGTCTATTAGACTGACCCTATCTCAGATAGTCTTATCAATGCCCAAGTTGGCCAATAAAAGGCAGTGGATCAAGCTATCCACTCCAAAACGGTTAACATTAATCAAAGTACAGATGATTCAGTCCTACTTGACAACAAGATAATTAGAGCACCATGAGTTTTACTGCTTTTATACCAGTATAGTGAAAGATAATTTGTTCCGAATAACATAAGAGTATCTTCGATGATAATTCGATCCATTCCCGGTGTACCATTTTACTGAATAGTCAATAGTAGTCAATTCACTTACGTTCATGTGTACCTAGTTGTAACTCACAAGAAATCAATTAACTTACTTCAATAATTCACTCATTATTTCACTACCTTTGATATAAAATTAAAGCCAATACATGTGTTCGTTTATGGTTACTGAGTTTCGTGTTGATATAGGAGAATGAATCATTGGAGTATGTGGCTTTAATCAAATCATGATCATTTGTTGAATTTTCCAGCTGAAATACTGTAACTTTTGACAAACACAACTTCTCCGCCCATGCTAAAGCAGTAAATGAAATTCACATAGAATGAAGTTTATATTTATTCTTGACATGTGTTCCTACCTGTTCCGCTGATTTTTTCAAAGACTAAAACATGTTCTTGTCAACAGTGATCGTAACATCTTAGATTTCTGTATCAAAAATATTGAGTAGAATACTAATTGACTATTTGTGGATAAAGCAGGTCTGAGATAAGCCTCTAGCAGTATTAATGTTGCTTATTCAGGTCTTATACCAAATTTTATTGAAGAAGGCTGTTTAAAAATAATAAGGAACAGTAGAATTTTGTAGCAAAGTCCTTCGGCTAACGAAATCTTATTTCTTAGCCTCACAAAAGCCGATAAGAGATATTAAAATGAACAAGAAGACTATGAATAAATAAGTAACAAACAACAAATCGTCATCCACTAGGACACCGACCCACAAAAGGCACTTCTTATGCGACGGGTATAGTTCTCATGTTGTTACTTGCATCATCCCATCATATTACACCCTTCACACGAGGAATGGCTATCCTGACCCGGTGGTCTAGTGGATAACTCTCTGTCGTTTGAAGTGATCGGAACGAGTTCAAGTTTTGGTGGGAGAACATCGTTCACAATAAGGCAGATATATCCAGCTGACAAGTCCCAAATAGGACGAAACAGGCGTCCTGGGTTCCACTGCTAGCCACCAATAACCATTAATAAGTACCAGACAGATTAAGGCTAATAACAGTAGACACTTTCATGAGGAAGTGAAGTGAATGGGTGCTTGTCATTGGGAATTATTCCAATTGATTCTACGTAAGACTTTCAGCTCCTGATTCCAAACATCTCTGTGTTCAACCAAACGGGCTTCACTACAATCTAGAACCAAGCCTATACTTCCCTACATCACTTAGACTCACTAGCTAACCTCACAGTTTGGTAGTGTGTCATAGTCCGGAAACTATTGGCCCTCCTATGACCAGATATTACTGCACTACTTGTCATATTTTGAAATGGATGATAGTTCGACATGCGGGAATTTGTCCCAGATACTGAGGCCAGTGCTCACTTACAATCCCATTAGTTAGCTTACTTCTGTCACGAAAATCACATGAAAATTGCCAAAGCTTTGAAAAAATCGAAAGCAAACTGACGAGTATGTAGTCGTCTTAAGTTATTCACCCTAAAAGATCAAAAATTTCAATCACAATGTATCAGTGATCACTAAATTAGTATTACAAATCTCTAAGATCACAAGTGTATTAATAATACTCTGTAGAAACAATTGCTATTTACATCCCCAAAACATAACTCTTATAATTTACTAGTCTGGACAGATGAATAATGTAAGGGTAAAAATTGGTCACTGTGGTAGAGTTTAATTCCATGTTAAATTGCTTATTTGATATGGTCACAGTGACACAGTATTATTTACTTGATGATGTTTCGAGTAAAATTTATTGCTCATATTCATATCAAAGTAATCATACGACTTATATAGTTTAACAGTTTCTCATGCATTTTGGTTGTAATGTGTTCTCTGAGCTCACAGAAAACAATACAACCAAGACCATCCACCTGAGCTACAAATATTCTCCATTACTTCTCATGCGTTTATTTAAATGGCAGTAAGATTTTCTATGTATCTGAAGTATGCGATGAATCATTTCTATTACATATGTTAGGTGTTGATTCAATGAACAAAGATTTTGTGGTCAATCTCGCCCTCCACCTAGTCACATTGCATTATAGAAATGTCACCCTGCATCCCATCCACCCTATAGTGTGATTATGGGTCAGTGCATAAAGAGTAATAGCCGAGTTTTTCTCTAAACTATTTATCTTAGTAGGGTCTACCAATGAGTGGTCTGCTACACTGATTGACATTAATCGACTGCTTTGACCTGTAAACTTGACCTCAAAACTACTACATGTTATTTGATAGATTACGTTATTTTTCTTAATTGGGTCTACTGGATCCTTTAGCCAACCACTGAAGAAATGAGTTAATTCAAGGACTTAGACATTAAGAAAACGAACCATGTAAGTGTGGAAATATTTTTGCATATTATTATATTATGAGAATACTATATATTAGTGTAGAGCCACTGACGAGGAACTAATTGAAAAGAAATATTTCCTCATTCAAATTACTTGTTTTCTTAATTCAAGGATTATTTTCAAAGTAAGCAATGTTTTCGTATGTCACCATGATGGTTTCCGAACCTTTAGAATTCTGTTGGTAAACTGCATAACACATGTCGATACTATTTCCTCTAAAACATAATCAAAATGACCAAATACGGCCAATTATTGTTTTCAATCATCTAAGATTAATCAGTAACGTTTGATATTCACATCGTACTTATCAAGTTTCATTACGCTAGTAAATATAAGTAACCGAAGAAGATCTTTATTGCAGAAGGATGTCAAACCGATTCTTCTTTAACGTTAACCAGCATCCCCTTATACATAAATCTGCTTCTCATCTAAAGCTAAATGACACAGACACACAAATAATT